AAGCAATAAGATCTGTCTGCTGAGGACGATGAAGGATGGATGAAGAAATTAAAGAAGAGTTCATTAGTGAAGAGATATGATGTCTTGACAGGTCAATGACTTCATATACTAAAGTTGGAAAGTACTTTCCTCTCTACAAAATCAGTCTGAAGAATTAACTTACTTTCAGTCAAAGTCCTGGGGAGAACTTTGTAGATATGGACATGAAGACTATAAAACTTATGTAGAAAGGCAAAGAAGCAGAAAAGAACAGCCGAATGAAGAATACTTTCAAATGAAGAATAATTAAAAGCTGCAGGGATTACAGTACCTTGTTCTGAGACTTACTGCAGAAGGACCACAAGAAAGGCCAATGAGGCCTACTGGTGTGTAGAATTGAGAAACTAAACTGAATTACCTTCCTCTCTTTTCCAAAATTACTCTAGCCATGTCAGGTTGACATAAAAACTAGCTAGCAGAGTTACTCAATCTCAAGTGGTCAGCAGTAAACGTGTGTGTGTGTGTGTGTGTGTGTGTGTGTGTGTGTGTGTGTGTGTGTGTAAGTAGCAGCAGTAAACAAATTCAGAGAGAAAGAGAGTAAAACAGTAATAATCAAAGAAGAAGAGGTTATAATTTTGGCATGGAAGGAGTTGGACAGGAGAGTCGGAATGGAAATAATGTAAATACAATATTCATGCATGAAATTCTCAGAAACTCTTAAGAGTTTCAAAAGAAATTTAAAAAGAGCTCAATTCCAAGAAAAATGTTTTGTTTTAGTTTTACTTATCAATTTACTTCAGTTTTAATTTATTTTTTCACATATACAAAAGTATTGTATGATTAAATATGTCTAAATGTAAAACAGATCATTCTAAAGTAAGATATGAAGTAAAAATCCAGAGTGATCAGAAAGCTATTATGTCCGGATCTTAGTTTAAATGACAGTTCCTTTCCTCTTTCTGTGGCACATGGAATAATGGAACATGTCACAATCAATGGTGTTCTGGATCCTGAGAAAAGAACAGACCTAGAGCTAGACCTTTCTTGTCTTACCCACAGCTACTTCTCCAAGCCATCCCCACCACCACCTGGCCTAGCTTCCTACAGTAGCTTCCAGACTGCATACCTCACATCCACAGTCATCCCAACTCCACACTCTGCTCCAAAATGTAGAGAGATCCTTTGATCCAAGACAGGCCATTCTGTTCAAAGTCTCTTACAGCTCCTTATCTCATTCAGACTAATCCAAACTCCTTTAAAACTCCTTTAAAACATACTCGTGGCATTCTTCGCCTCACTGCCTTCCTGCCTTCCACATTTCTCTAGGCTTTTTCAGACTCTTCATTGTCCCTCATGGAATTTGTCACAAGTGTATATACTTTGGGACCATTGTATTTGTTCTCTCTGCTTGGAATTCCCTTCCTTATCATGATGCCAAATAATTGACGTTTGCATCATGACCTCCTTTCACCTCTATCAACTACCAAGCCCTTTTCTTACTAACCTATTAACAGCTGCAACTTATTTTTGGCGTTGGCTGGCAGCTCCTGCATATCTTGTGTTTTGCTTCTTCCTTGATTAACTGTTGCCATCTCTCCTAGGACCCAATGACACCCATGCACTTTATTTGTTTATTTGTTTGTCTGAGAGTTCTTCATTCTAGTCTCTAAGTCCATCAGAGAGATGGGATTTTGTTGGGTGTGTCCTTTGCTGTGTTTCCAGCACTGGCAACAGTACCTCAGCATCTAGCCACTGTCTCATAAATGCCTGCTGTTGAATGAATGTAGGTTTCTTTGAGTGGATTGTGAGTACAGCATGAAGAAGTCAGATTCAAGGCACACATTTTATTACCACTTTCCTTTTTAAATTTTTTCTGTATTTTTTTTTTTTTTTTTTTACTCAGAATGCCCTGTGTTTTATTATAAACATACTTCACCTCAAATTTTTTGAACCAGAATGAAGGTACAGGAATATGCTAACCCACAGGCATTATGAATCAACTTGCAGTCTCTGAGGCACATCCTTTGAATTAGGACATTTTATCTCAATATAAGTTAGCTTATCTGACCCTTGCAACTCAAGGAGCGTGGCAAGAGCACTTAAGGAGGTCCTGGTGTTTTCAAAACCTACAGCTACATTAGAAAGTTCTGCAGATCAGACACAAATTCATAGTAAATAGGCTGGATAAGAATGTAAGGGTCTAGGAAGACTTAGTACCACACATGTCAATAAGACTTATAAGAAAAATGAGTCTTTACATTTTAAGAATAAAAAGCAAGGTAAAGCTAGCTAATTATTTTTTTTTCTCATTGGTCTAAGCAACTTAAGAATTGAGTAGGAAAGGGAGGATTGACCATTATCACTGGAATCTCTTCCTATGGAAATGGAGTGGGCAATTATAATGTCTTTTGATAAAATGGCGGCTTCCTTTTCATTCACCAGCAGCCATTCGATAAGTTACTCCTATTTTTCTTTTTTGTTCTGGCACTTTCTGCAATGGTCTTTCTCCACTCATCTGTTTTCCCTTTGTTCCCATGAGTCTGATAACATAAGAAAAAAAAATCCAAAAAAACCTTGGATATAAATTTAGAAAGAAAATGAGTTCAGTGTGGGGAATCCGAATGCTAGGAGTAAGAAGTAAGCATGTGGCTGGCTTATGGCTCCTTTTGGCAAGCCATGGGGAGAGGCCTGGCAACACTCCTCCTGAGCCTCTAGGGTGGAGCATGCTCACCTGGCCAGCACACTGCCTGTTGAGCAGCTAATCACCCTTGCCTGTGGGCTGCCTTGAAGTCTGTAAATACGGGAAGGGAGATTCTTCTGGGGTGGAGGAAATCCACGTGAGGCAGCTCGCTCAGCATCTGCTATAGATTGTGGTGAGGGGCATGGACTTTATTGATATAAATCATTTTGTCATGAGGCATCATCGGAGCTAAGGTAAACGAATCAATTGCATTTTGTCATTATGTACAATCGTCAGGCTGTGTATTATATAATTTACCCACTGTTGGCCTTGAATGGAGTCCCTTTCACTGAAGTGTATGTTTGCAGAACTGGGGATGACACATGGCTCTCGACTTGCCTCGTTTGTTCTTTCAAAGCTTCTCTTCCTTCTTTGCAGTGACTCAGGGTTTGGGGTCACCAACTGCCCCCCCCCAGTAGTAGGATAAGAGGAATACCTACAGGAACGCTGTTCTGGCTGTGCTATGAGGTCAGGAAGGTGTAGGCATGATAAAGGAAGACCCCTATTAAGACAGGTTTTACAAGTTGCCAGAGAGCAGTTGTACACATGCCTAATTTTTTTTTTCTAAATGGCAATCCTGCATTCCTGGACAAGAGGCACTGATTCAATCATGTAACCAATAATCAGAAAGATTTTAATTCTTCAGCATTCCTTAGAGAATTCTGTTAAGAGTGACCCTTTAAATGTACTTTTAAATAAAAAAAGTACTTAACCCCAAGTTCAGAGATTTACAAAAGATTTCTGCCTCTATGAGTTCTGGTTTCCATCCTTAATTGTTCATCATATAATAGAAGCTACGAACATACAAGAGCAACATATATGACCAAAGATACTCTTTCCTGGATGTGCTGTATTAAGGTCTGAGTCAACCCATCCTTCATTTTAGCTGCTAGAGTTTTTAGAGGTTTTAGTTTTTCAGGGAATCTCATTTTTCCCCCTGCCCCAGGGTAGTAAATATGCGGTGAACTTCCTAAGTGGACATCTCCAATTCTTCACTTGCTTAATGGTCCCTGGTCACTCTTCCTGTCTCTATTCCCAAGGGCGCCTCCCTTTTGGCAAGGTGCCTTTTCAGGCCTTCATGGAACAGTTCTCCAGTGCTTTCCAAAGTAACTCCATCTGCCTTTTCCCTTGACATTCAAGTCCATTTAAAGCCATCAATTTGCCAAATGTCAATTGTTTTCCTCTAACTAGTCGGGAAGTAAAGAGAACAAAACCACACTCCAAAGCTTGTTCTCATTTCCCAGGCTAGGATATGAAAGAAAATAGATATTGGAAAATGATATATTGAAGGGTAGTAGATAATGCAAACATTAGGCCAGGGTCAGATGGCTCTTAAAATTCATTCACTTGAGTTTAAGAGTCATGCTTCTTTCTGTGCAGTGGTTCTCTCAGAGAAAACTATTATAAAAATTCATGTGCAACTCTATGGCTGTAGATACCATGGCATTTATGCCTTCTACTCTTGCAAGGCTCAACCGGGAAGTTATTCCTGATCTTCTGGGTTGATCTGTCCACCTGCTTTATAAATATCCAACCCCAGAGTTGGTCAGTAGCATGATGGGACTGCAGAGGAATGGCTAAGTTTTTAGGTGCTGAGATCAAACTCTGGGCTCAAATATTAGCTCTTTATGTGACCACAGAAAGTCCTATCATCTGGGAAGGTCTCATCACAGCCTCTGTAAGATGAAAATGAAGGCTATCTTGTTACCATGTTTCTATAAAGACCATGTGAGGTAATAGCGTAGAGTGCAAAGCTCATATGGGTATAGTAAGCACACGTTACTTACTGATCTAGGACACAAAGATCATAGAGTGGCTTCACAAAACTTTGGCCTCCTATTAATTCTGAAAGACCCTGCTGTCAGCACCGACCACAGGCCACCTTGTGCATGAGGGCCATGTGATTTTGCAATAGTAGGGATGAATTTGTGCTGCTCCCCCCCCCCCCCCCAACTGGTGATACTTTTACTAGGCATCTCAGACTACAAATCCGACAGGAGCTTAAATGCAGTCTGTACGTCCACTGAGCAGGAAAGGCTCACACATCTTTAGATCCATGTCTGCTTCTCTCCCATGGTACCCCAGAAGGAAAGAGGTTACAACTGGCAATCTGACTTGTCCTACATAAACCCACAAAGCAGGAACATTCACCCCAAATTTTCAGATTTTTCTCTACCTCGGTAGATGCTTTATTCACCAGTGGCAGAGAGGAGCCACAGCTAGGTAAGGGCTGAATAACAAGCCAATAAGGACAAAACTGCTCATCTCCGTAGTGTCTTACATTTAGTTGCAGAGAGCTGGGATTTATACTGCCCACGGACCAGTCTGCAGGTGGACCCATCTCCGTTGCAGACTCCACAGTTATCTTCTTTAGCGGGACTTCCCAACTGGTGATCACAGCCAACGATCTAATGAGAAAGAGAAATGTATAATTCAACAAGGCACCGTCCACGGTGGGGATCTTTAGTAAGGCCAATGGCTACCAAATAATGCACACACACCCAATCTCTGAGAAACGTAAGATGTGCTTCCTTCCTTCCTTCCTTCCTTCCTTCCTTCCTTCCTTCCTTCCTTCCTTCCTTCCTTTCTTTCTTTCTTTCTTTCTTTCTTTCTTTCTTTCTTTCTTTCTT